CATTACATTCCAAATTACTTATTCACCCACCCCAGATGCTTACCCAAACAGTGACTCTTATTTTACTCACCTGAAGATGCATAACCAAAAGATGATAAACTGCCTTCCTAACCGAACTTTGGTGTTTAAGCATACAGATGCTGCCTGGGAAGAAGGCAGGGAATGGGCAAATATTTCAAAAGAACCCCAAGCCTAAACAATGAATGCAGTTTTAATAATCAAGTAACACAACTACCCAATACTTCAACATTTAGAAAACAAAGAACACTGAAAAAATACTGTACTTCAAGCCTACTGAACTATCTTCGCACAAATAACTCAATGAACAATAAGCTAATGAAGATTTTTTTTTTTCAAAGGGAAATGTCACTGATTGTTTTGGTTTATCCTTGGTAATCTACACACATGCTGCTATGAATGATAATTTATACAACTGTATTTATGTGTACCTATACCTGAATAAAAACTTATGTGCAGCTCAAAGGCTTGGTAATAATAGAAAAGAGGCATGTTAAAAAGAAGACTAATGCAGTATTCAGAACCTTGATGGCATAGGTACAATATGTGATTGATTGTTTAATGTCTGGCATCAATCCTGAGATACAGGCAACATACATATGGAATGTTCTCAAAGTTAACTTTTAATTTATAAAACTTTTTTTTATGTGCATCTAAAATTTATTCACATCTTGTGTATCTACATTATTGTAATATACATAGGAAGAACTAAGCTCATAAATAAGTTTATTTAGATACCGGTACATAAAAGTACAATTATCATATACATAGTAATATGTGTATATTACCTATGATATCTCAAAGTGTTTGACGTGATTTATTTCCATAAGGGTCATACAGTCCCTGGGGACAGGCAACAATACGGTTTAATCCAAGGATGGGCAAGATATCTCATATTCCTTGGACCAAGACCCTTTCAGTAGTATTTAGACATCTCCCCATAAAAAAGATGACGTAATAATGTTGAAAATTTATTTCTCACATTTACATTGCAATAAAATGAACTAGGAACTATTTCCCATAACAGTTAAATTTCTTAAAACGAATTTTAAAGTCTCTAAAATATTTGCACATTTTATGAACAGTACTATATATACTATCAAATATTGGATTTATTGACAATGTAACCCACTAAACAGGTACACAAATTTGTAGCTAACAAATTTACCCTTAACTTATGCAATTTCTCAAGCTACTTCATTGGGTCTTTCACTTTCATCAGGTAGCAAAAACATTATTATTTTACATTTAGTTTTACCTCCCATATTAGAGAATTTGTATATTGACAAAAACTAGCATAATTGTCATGCTCTACAAAAACAAGATGGCTGCCGCCTATCATATGAAGGAAAAGGGAAAAAAATATGTCAAAGACTTTGCCAAGAAATAATATAAAACAATACTGCTGTTGCTTTAATAAAATAGTCAATTTAAATTTAACAAATTTATACCAAAATTATTTTTTTCCTTAACCATCTTTTTTAATCTACAGCCGAAACGTTTTACGAAAAAGAAGTTATTCTGAAATGTGCTCGTAAATTAGTGTGAATTTAACCTCATTAACTAATCATGTAGAATTTACTTATTAAATCTTACTTAACTAACAATACTATATGCATTCATCTCATACAGAAACACCCAATTAAGACTACACTGGCAGTACTGCAATTTTACCACGTATCCTGAAATTTCATTTCATTACCACCAGACATACCTAACACTTCAACCAGTCACTGTATTAGTAAACAGTTAAACCAAAAACTAACTAAACCTGTCACACAAATGTACCGATATCCCTTAAAAACCTAAAGCTTCCTAAACCCAGTCTTTCCTAAAAGTAAAGTTCCATCTTTAAAGCATTTTCCAGGAGCGTCGCTCAGCTTCCATTGTTCGTATTCCCTGCTGTGGCACCTTACTAAGTTGACCAACATTTAGCAGGGGATTATCAGTGTGTGCAGCATCGCATCAAGGTGTAATTTGCTGGATAATAATGGGACATGGACTGGGGTCGCCATGTCGCTGACATACGCTCGCACGTAATCGCCGCTACGCACAACACACTAACATCCATTATTTCTGCTTATACGCTATATCCAGCGACTAAAGCGTAAAAAATGAGTTCCCGAAATCTCACACTCTGGAAATAGTGCGTCAGGGACCCGTTTAACAGACAAATGTGTCTGCGAATATGCATTTTGTAGACGAGGACGCTGTGGTGGACGTAACGCTAAAATCTGCGTCCACGACTTCGGCAGAACGTCAAAGACATTGTCTTGTAAATCCCCCACATTTACAACTTATTTAAATCAAATGAGACAATAAAAACTCGGCCTAACCCGGCAAGGAGTAATTCCCTCTGCCACCTGAGGCCTCAAAGCAACAGTGCGATGTTAATTTACCGGTGGAGGAATAATTTTACAAATCCCGGACTGCTCGGCGATGGGTCGTATCTTGTTAATATATCCAAGGGCGTCCTGAAACTCTTCCCATGTTGGCTTAAATACAGGACCCTCCGGCGGCGGGATGAAGACGAACTCCGCCGAGGACATGGTGAGAGGAGTATGCGAGGAGAGTGTGACCACGCTATGAGGGCAACATGTCGAGGCAGGACGAGGAGAGTGAGAGATAACTAGCGGGTGTGACACACCGTCCTCCTGCCACTGTTTACTACTGACGTGCTGACTCCCCCGCGGAGCAATACTGCCGCTGCACCGCCCCACCTAGAAAGCACACAAACCTAGTGCATTTAGAAAGCATAGGTAATATAGGCTGGAGGACACCATTATACCCTTATAGATTTCATGTAAATGATTTAATCTGTGTTATAAGAGCTTGTAACACTCGGTACGGTTTGTTAAATCATGAAGCGGGGTCAAATCTGCTTGATGGATGCAGCATTTTTTTTTATATATTTTTTTAATAGGTTTTTCTTTATAAAGCGTAGAGCAGTAATCGTTAAAACCACGAGTCAGTGTTGCAAAAATATCATAACATATTAAAGATTTTTATATCGATATACAAAATTATAATATAAACAAAAAGAAAATATATATATATAGCCGAATATGGGATGTGTATGTCGGTGAAGCTTACTAAGCTGGTGTTAATATTTAACCATAGCATTGCGAATATAAAAATTATTCATTTACACTGAAGGGAACATCAATATTTCCTGAAAAATTCTTCATTTTATCTCATAAATCAAGTCGTCAATGTAAAAGTGTATGGAACAGGTGTTGAGAGCTGTGATTGGCTGAGAGGGAGACACAAGCACCAATCATAATATAGCAACAACGTCATTTAACGTCATTTAAAAATGGCCGCGGTCCAGAGGTAAATAAATAGGAATGTTCTTCGTAAATTATTTAATAATGTTCTAATCGCTACTGATGTTTAGCTATATTACTGACAGTTTCATTCAGGAGGAAGTAGACTACACTCTCGTCTTGTTCTTAATAACTGTTAATCCATAATAACAATGACTGACGCAATCCCAGGTTATCCTAGGCTAATATACAGGTTACCAAACAATAATTGGGACAGGTTTAGCGCTTGTTTTCTTTTTAAATATAATAATAATAAGGCAATTGCTAAAAATTTTACTTGTGTATTGAATCAATGAAAGCTTAACCCGTATTAAAATGTCTACTGGGCCTGTTATTTGATCTACGAAGACCATTTAATATTCTTTTTTACCATTTTTCCACTTAAATAATGGCGCTATGAATTCAAAGGCCATACACATTTAAATTGAGCCTTAACTCCATAAAATACAACAAATCCTTATTAACTTAACACTGGTGTGCCTCATGCCAGGTCCTGGGACCTATGTTATTCCTTATTTTTAGCAATGACTGCGCTGTATGACCCTTGTGGGTTTAGCGCTTAGTTTTGATTGTTGTAATAGTAAATATCTAGCAATGACCATGCCTCAAGGAAGGTTCCTTGATGCTGGGGAGGGGGCTCTTGATCCAATAATAATAATAATACTAATAATAATAATAATAATAATATAATTATAATAATTATAATAATCTTTATTTCTTCAAGTACATGTATAAGGTATACAGGCCTAACTGACATCAGTGACATACTACTATATAAAAAGCTCTTTTGTTATGCAGAGCATCTCGGGCAAATTAGGTTAATTTTGTCCCCAGGGTGCGACTCTCACCAGTCGACTAACACCCAGGTATCTATTTTACCGATAGGTGAACAGGGACAGCAGGTGTCTTAAGGAAACACATCCTAATATTTCCACCCATACTGGGGATTGAACCATGGACCTGAATGTGTGACCTGAGTGCACTAGCAATCGATCTACAGGACAGAATTACAAGGAATTATTTATTCTCCCCTTAGATTGAACCTGATTATCTCCCTTTCGCAAGGTACTGTATAACCCCAGTTGGTTTAGTGCTTCCCCTTCTTATAATAATAGCTAATAATTAAAACACTCTTACAAAATGTAACTTTTTAAGTGATATCACCTTTTTCTCCTTAAAGTTTTCTTCCTTGAAGCACATGAACACAAGATTTTAATATACATATATTACTTACATCTGTAAAACATTTGTAGATTTCCAGAATAAAGATGATCATTCTTAAATGTAAATTCCTGCTTGTTTAATAAAGCATAATATCAATCACACTAATAACCACAAAGTACTACAAAATAAAATAAATATACCACCTATCAAAGAAATAAAAAACTTCCATTATTAAAATTACTGTAAGACATATTACAGCAAAGGTTCACTATATTTTTATATATATTATTTCAGACATTTCTGTTTTATTTACAGGTTTTTGTACCAATTACCCCCAGCCTTCCTTGAAATAAATCTAAGTTTAGGACCGCTACTTAACAGAACTCGGGCATTATTGGACACTATGGAAAAGTAAATATTTCTTGTGGAGATTGTTATTTTGGGAGATACTACTAGCAAAAGTGGAACATTTATTTCAGTTGCATAGCATATCTGAACTGATCAATTTAGCGTGGAGTCGTATTATTCACCTGGCCAAGTGTAAACAAAAATGCACTAGAACTGATGGTGGAGTAAGGCTAAGTTACAGTTAGTTGTCTTAGAAAGGTTAGGTGGGTTTCATTAGGTTAGGTTATATTTTTTTATATTTGTTCAGTAAAATTATATATCTGCAAAACAAACTTAATATTGTACAATTCAAACTATAATTAATGGTCGAAATATGCTGAGTGGCAATCGTATACTTTTACCCTGAATTTACATATTATTATGTCTTAGGAAAAAACATAACTTGCTTAATGGAAAGCCAGCTTACTAATGAGGACTGCCTTGACACTCAAGACACTCATGTTTAGTCACAGCTTCACACCTATGGTGACAAGACAACAGCTGCTCCCTCTGTGACACACACTGTACCAGACCTTTGAAGTTGTCTCTTTGAAGCCTTACCTCACATTATTTATTCTCATTTTCACATTGTGCATTTCACCAATATATATAATGTTATTGAGTTCTGTAAATGTAACTTTCTATTAAATTGGCCATTAAATCTCACCTACAGTATACTGGAAGTTCTTGACCTTTGCAACTCCCAGTGTATTGTAGATGAAGCTAAAGTTAAAAAGAAAACAAATAAATGTACAATCATATATGAATTAAAATGTCAGTTCTTAAAGTTTTAGGGTGGCCCAAAAAATAAAATTTTTAAATGTCTTTCTCCACAAGGCTGTCCATGTTACATATTGAAATGTAAACATATGTGGAAAAAAAATTAGACTAAATAATATTTAGAGGTTAACTAGGATTTGCTCATTATTGCATGTACTTGCAAGAAATGTGAAAATTTGAAAAATGAAAATCTTGTTAAATTGTTAATGTTGTATTTCAAAATTGTACTTTACTGAATTTGTAATGAATATAATATGAAATCTTCACTGCTACACAGTAAAATCATCTAATGATACTGGAGGACAGAAGGGCAACGAAAAACATGATAACAGCACACAGAATACTCGATTACTCGGAGGAATTGATAGGACAAACGTGGATAAACTGTCCAAGAGGTGGAAAACAGGTACTCAAGAGTACATTTGGAAGTTAAAGACACAGATGAGTCACAGGGATGTCAGGAAGTATTTCTTCAGTCTTAGGGTGGTTGGGGAGTGAAATAACCTCAATGAAGTCACTTTTGAATAGCTTCCCCTTGACTTAGCTGCCATTCTGCAACAGTTGGTTTTTCATAGAACACCATATTTTACTTGCATTTCTTGAGCTTGCGGACACCAAAGTCAGCCCTCTGGTTGGAATCTGTGCTTTCTCCCAGATAACCTGAGTGATATCTGTGATAGCCTTGGCAGTGACACTAACCATCGAGGCGAGGCATGAAGTTCCTTAGTACAGTCCTGAGCTCAGATGTCTTTGCCAGGCTTCCCTAGGAGCCAAACAGCTAGGGGGCTTATTATCATTGCCATTGCCATACTATTTAGAGTTTTACAGCTGAAAATAAAGCAAAAAGTTATGCCCTATTAATTTGAATCAACTCATAACCTGCACGAAGAACTAGTCATCTCAGTCACGGTATCTCTCCCTCGCATTGAAACATGTTTGGTATTTCCCTCAAAAAAAATGTTTTTTTTTGGGTAGCCTCACTGAACTTCAACCCAGTGGCCCCTCAAGAAAGGATCTTTGTTGCTGGTGAGAAGCTTTTGATGCAATGAATTAGACCTGTCCTTTTTCTTCCTTGCACTGAAGCTGAGTGCTTCACATCCTCCCAGGCACTGTATGACCCCTGTAGGTTTAGCTGTTTCCCATGAAGATGATAAGAATCTGTCTCACTGGTTTCTATGCTTTCATTGCACACAGGTAATACTGGTAATACCCTTAATACCTCACATTCTTTAGCACTATATTGGCCCATCAGCATCTTGATCCATATCTATAACACTAATATACATATAACATCTACTATCCCAAAATCTTCTATTTCTTTGTGTGAAACATAATTAGTAATTTTTAGCTCAATTTATACTTCAATTTTTAGCTTATTGTAACAGAGAAGGGGTGGTAAATGTTAGTTTGGGTATTTATGGAAATCACACAGCTCATTAGGTAATTACGGTCACTTTATAATCTTACAGTTCAGGGCTACTACAAGCCTCACAGAGCACAAGTTACAACATTAGGTTTACTTGAAGGAAATGGATGCAGATGCATTCTCTTAAGATATTTTTATTGAAGATGTTTTGTCCTTGGACCTTATCACATTCATTGTTCATTTCCTCAAAGTTGTCAACAGTTATTTGCCTTCTTATTTCAATTATATTTACTCCTTAACAGTGTTTTATCTACCGGTCATTGTCATTTCTGTCTACCTCTGTTCAGGGTTAGTAGCTCAATAACTTGATGTCCTCCTCTCTGACTGACTATTCATCTCTCAGGAAACTTGAGCACCCTAATAATTTCTAGTAAGTCCAGCCAAATTTTATTTTTGTGTAAGACATACCGAGACATTCTTCGTTGCCTGGTTGGAGAAGAATCCCCGCATTTACCTCCCACATAACCAGTGAGAACATGCCTAAGAGAGTTTCTGATTGTTATCCCATAACATAAGTAGCAAGCTGGTTCTGGTTACAATGTGGCCCTCATAATTTGTTTCACCATTGCTGCATTTCTGATTAAAGTTACTAAACAGCAATTCTATTGCAGGTTAAGATCCTCAGTAAGGAGAATTAACAGTTGTGGGAGGAATAGAGCAACAACTCCCACAGCCTCAAACAATGATCTGGTAAGCTTTTATGTTACTCTACATGTAAGGAAATCTCTCGAGTATCTTTTATTGTTTCACTGTGTTGGTAATGTGAAAACATACATTTCATGTCTACTGAACATATATTACAGTAATATGTGATATTCTGAATCCTGTAACTTGCTGAGTAATAATTACAGTAATCTTGATTTAACAGATTAATTAATAGGGAAGGAGAGGGTGTCTGGTAATGCTGGTTGTTAATTAAATCCTGATGATTGTTATCCCATGATTGTAATAATTATGAATAGTTCTGGAAACAAAGGACTTCTGTTAAATTCAAAATACAATGGAACATCAGTTTTTGTATGCCTTAGTCTGTACAGTATGTAAAACTATAGTTATTCTCTATAAAATGTATTTTTTGTTAATATTTCCTATAAGAAATAATGTAAATCCAATTAATCCATTCCAGACACCCAAAAATATTAAAAAATAAATTTTATAGAGAATAACTATAGTTCTACATACAGACTAGGGCATACGAAAACCGAGGTTCCACCATATATTTACCAAGAGGCCCATAACATTAACAAACAATTTTGGAAATGAAATATTTTGTCCAAAAGGGATGGACTTAATCTGTTGTTTCTGGGCTTTGTGGAGGCATTGGATTTTGTCCATTAAATATGAAATCCATTAAACTGAAGTCTATTAAGTCAAAGTTCTACTGTATAGGTAGTTTGATATACCATACAGTATATTTTCTCCACTAATATTGATTATTTCATTGATAGTGTGAGATTTATGTGACAGAAATCAATATTGTTTTCTTACTGTATAAAGAGTAATGCAAAATTTATATACATGTACTGTATTGAGTAATGAAGTTTTAATTATTTTGTCACCAGCATATTAATGTTGAAGAAGAGCTCTCCAAACTTCAGCCGTCTCAACGCCTTCTGGACTTCTACAGGCAGAAAATTGCCAAATTTGATGCAGACCGCCAACATTTTTTAGAATTACTTGAAAAGTGAGTGTTTTATTGTAATTTCCTTAACAAAGGTCAAAACTGTTGAAAAGTTCAATATATATTAACTATCAGTCATGTAAAGCTGTAGGCACAGTGACTTTAATTGTAGTAGTTTTCATTATATACTAATTATACTGTACACAAAACCTACAAGGAGGTGAATAAGACATGTGCAGCACTTGGATATATTTGTTGTGGAGACATTTTGCCAGCCAGTGGTTTTTATCAGTTCATTATAAAGATGTAAGTAGTAGTAGTAAGTAAAAGATGTAAGTAGTAGTTTGAGGAATCACTCCCTCAGCTTTATAAGGTGGTGGTCATTTCATCAGTCTTTATGAATTTGATTCATCAAGATAAATGGATTGAATGCCTCCTTTCTAGGCTGAGGGACTGGTCAACTCAGACTACTACTCCATGTTGTTCACCATATCCAGTATTATTGTATTGGATTGATAAAGCCACTGGTTGGCAAAACATCTCCACAAAAAGAAATAAGTGTTTCAGATGTGTCTTATTCAGTTCGTGTAAACAATCATAGCATGTATAGTATTTTTTTTTATTAACACGTCGGCTGTCTCCCACCAAGGCAGGGTGGCCCGAAAAAGAAAAACTTTCATCATCATTCATTCCATCACTGTCTTGCCAGAGGTGCACTTACACTACAGTTATAAAACTGCAACATTAACACCCCTCCTTCAGAGTGCAGACACTGTACTTCCCACCTCCAGGACTCAAGTCCAGCCTGCCGGTTTTCCTGAATCCCTTCATAAATGTTACCTTGCTCACACTCCAACAGCATGTCAAGTCCTAAAAACCATTTGTCTCCATTCACTCCTATCAAACATGCTCATGCATACTTGCTGGAAGTTCAAGCCCATCGCATATAAAACCCTCTTTACCCCTTCCCTCCAACCTTTCCTAGGACAACTCCTACCCTGCCTTCCCTCCACTACAGATTTATACGCTCTTGAATTCATTCTATTTCATTTCATCCTCTCTACATGTCCAAACCACCTCAGCAACCCCTCCTCAGCCCTCTCAATAATAGTTTTGGTAATCCCACACCTCCTCCTAATTTCCAAACTATGAATTCTTTGCATTATAATCACACAACACATTGCCCTCAGACATGACATCTCCACTGCCTCCAGCCTTCTCCTTGTTGCAACATTCACCACCCATGCTTCACACCAATATAAGAGCATTGGTTTAACTATACTCTCATACATTCCCCTCTTTGCTTCCATGGACAAAGTTCTTTGTCTCCACAGACTCCTAAGTGCACCACTCACCTTTTTTCCCTCATCAGTTCTATGATTCACCTCATCCTCCATCGACCCATCTGCTGACACGTCCACTCCTAAATATCTGAATACATCCACCTCCTCCATACTCTCTCCCTCCAATCTGATATCCAATCTTTTGTTACCTAATTTTTGTGTTATCCTCATCACCTTACTCTTTCCTATATTCACTTTTAATTTTCTTCTTATACATACTCTACCGTACTCATCAACCAACCTCTGCAGCCTCTCTTCAGAATTTCCCAGAAGCACAATGTCATCAGCAAAGAGCAATTGTAACAACTCCCACTTTGTGTTAGATTCTTTATATTTTAACCCCACACCACTTGCTAACACCCGAGCATTCGCTTCTCTTACAACCCCATCTATAAATATTTTGAACAACCATGGTGACATCACACATCCTTATCTAAGGCCTACTTTTACTGGGAAATAATCTCCCTCTCTCCTACATACTCTAACCTGAGTCTCACTATCCTCATAAAAACTCTTCACTGGTTTCAGTAACCTACCTCCTGTTCTATACATTTGAAACATCTGCCACATTGCTTACCCCTCCACCCTGTCATACGCCTTTTACAAATCCATAAATGCCACAAAAACCTCTTTACCCTTATCTAATTACTGTTCACCTATATGTTTCACTGTAAATGCTTGGTCTACACACCCCCCTACCTTTTCAAAAGCCTCCTTGTTCATCTGCTATCCTTCTCTCCATCTTGCTCTTAATTCTTTCAATAAAAACTCTACCATACCTTTTACCAGGTATACTCAACAGACTTTTTTTTTTTTTCTCAACAAACCAGCCGTATCCCACCAAGGCAGGGTGGCCCTAAAAGAAAAACAAAAAGTTTCTCATTTTAAATTTAGTAATCTATACAGGAGAAGGGATTACTAGCCCCTTGCTCCTGGCATTTTAGTCGCCTCTTACAACACGCATGGCTTACGGAGGAAGAATTCTGTTCCACTTTCCCATGAAGAACTCAACAGACTTCTTCCCCTATAATTTTTGCATTCTCTTTTGTCCCCTTTGCCTTTATACAATGGAACTATGCACGCTCTCTGCCAGTCCCTAGGTACCTTACCCTCTTCCATACATTTATTAAATATCCCCACCTGATTTTTAACATTTCTGTCTTTATCCCATTAATCCCAGCTGCCTTACCACCTTTCATTCTACCCACTGTCTCATGAACTTTCCCCACACTCACAACTGGCTCTTCCTCACTCCTACAAAATGTTATTCCTCCTTGCCCTATACACGAAATCACAGCTTCTCTATCTTCATCAACATTTAACAATTCCTCAAAATATTCCCTCCATCTTCTCGATATCTCTAACTCTCCATTTAATAACTCTCTTCTGCTTTTAACTATCAAATCCATTTATTCCCTAGGCTTCCTCAACTTATTAATCTCACTCCAAAACTTTTTCTTATTTTCAACAAAATTTGTTGATAACATCTCACCCACTCTCTTATTTGCTCTCTTTTTACATTGCTTCACCACTCTCTTAACCTTTCTTTTTCTCTCCATATACTCCTCCCTCTTTGCATCACTTATACTTTGTAGAAACCTCTCATATGCTAACTTTTTCTCCCTTACTACTCTCTTTACATCATTCCACCAATCGCTCTTCTTCCCTCCCGCGCCTACTTTCCTGTAACCACAAACTTCTGCTGAACACTAACACTACATTCTTAAACCAACCCCATTGCCTATACTCTTACTAGCCCATCTATCTTCCAATAGTTGTTTTTATCTTACCCTAATTGCCTCCTCCTTTAGTTTATAAACCTTCACCTCTCTCTTACTTGCTGCTTCTATTTTCCTTGTATCCCATCTACTTTCTACTCTCACTGTAGCTACAACTAGAAATTGATCTGATATATCTGTGGCCCCTCTATAAACATGTACATCCTGAAGTCTACTCAACAGTCTTTTATCTACCAATATGTAGTCCAACAAACTACTGTCATTGTGCCCTACATCATATCTTGTATACTTACTTATCCTCTTTTTCTTAAAATATGTATTACCTATAACCAAAGGGCCCCCATTATCATTTACACCTGGCATCCCAAACTTACCTACCACACCCTCTCTAAATGTTTCTCCTACTTTAGTATTTAAGTCCCCTACCACAATTACTCTCTCACTTGGTTCAAAAGTTCCTACACACTTGCTTAACATCTCCCAAAATCAATCAATCAATCTCTCTCTCTCTTTCTCTCTCCCCCTCTGTCTCTCTCCCTCCCTCCCTCTCTCTCTCTCCCTCTTCTCCCTCTTTTTTTTTTTTTTTTTTTTTTTTTTAAACAGGGTTTGACAAGGTTAAGGATCCTTAGCTTTATTGACAAGCTATTTACAGGTTAAGGATTCTTAACTTTATTGGCAAGCTAAGAGCTGTTACCTACATCAGCTCATTTGAAAGCATTTTTATTGTTATGAGACATACAAGTAGGGAACAGGATGAAGTTGGAGCCATCTGTGGGCCAGCATTTTCATTTGATCAACTGACTTTATCTCATTGACATCATTATGCTGTACGAATGTGTTCCATATTCGAGTCATCCTGGGTATATATCTCAGATGGAGTGATGTTCTGGAGAAGGGTACAGCCAGAGTGAAGTTGCTGCTTTCTGCCCATCTTGTGGCATGAAAGCTTGTTTCTCGCTGTCCTCAAAGTGGATCCAAGTGTGGTACTTTGATAATATTGGCCTTGTACATAACAGTAAGGCCACCCACATCCCTCCTGTGTTGAAGGCTATGCTGAAATGACAGGTCTATCCAGGATGGGTCCAGGCGAGAGATGAGACGTCTTGCTCTGTTCTCTACTCTGTCAAGCAGTCACAGATGAGAGGGGGGGGCAGGCAAACCAAGAAAGTGGAGCATACTCAAGGTGTGAGTGTACTTGTGCCTCGTACAGAATCTTGCAACCCCTACTGTCAAGCAGATGCGAGATACGGTGAAGTGCTGTAAGCTTCCTGGCTGCCTTGTTTGCAAGATTTACAACATGGTTCTTCATGGTTAGTTTGGAGTCAAATTTCACCCCAAGGATATCAACTTCTCCAGGGGCCAACACCCTCCCATTCATCCTTACTACTGCACCAGCATTACCATCATGGTGCCTAGAGACCATCATCATTTGCATTTTCTCAGGTGCAAATGTTACTTGCCATCTATTTCCCCAAGCTGATATAACTCTTAGCTGGTGATTGATGTTAGTTTAGAGCATCTGGCATTTCTTCTCTTGGATAAGTGAATGTCAGTGTACAGTCATCTGCATATGCATGGGATTTTGGTATGAGATGAAGAAGGTCGTTGAAGTAGACATTCCATAACAATGGTCCCAGCACGCTTCCTTGTGGAACACTTGCCCCTATAGGATGTCTTGCTGATTCTGTTGCATTGAGAACTACACTTAGAGATCTACCATGAAGGTAATCACTGAGGAGACATAGCGTAGAGCCTGCAATTCCCAGTGCTTGAAGTTTTGCTAAGAGGCCCTGGTGCCACACCCGGTCGAAAGCACCAGCAGTGTCCAGTGCTACCACACAGCTGACTTTGGATTCATCCAGTGACTGGTGCCACTTAGTGGAGAGGTTTAACAACAGATCAGCAGCAGAATAATCTTTCCTGAAGCCATATTGACGATCACAAAGTAGTGAGTGGTAGTCAAAAAACTCTGTCATATGTCTTGAGATTATTGTCTCAAGGATCTTACCAGTGATTGACAGGAGTGACACTGGTCTGTAGTTGCTGATTTCTGCTCTACTCTTCTTTTTGTGAACAGGGACTACATTTGCCTCTTTCCATAGAGAGGGCCATTTACACTGTACTAGGCAGTGCTGAAAGATGTGAGTTAGAGGTGCTGCTAGCTAGTTGGCACATCTTCTCAGCAATCTTGGGCTCAACTTGTCTGGGCCCACAGCCTTTTCTTGGTCAAGCGATTTAAGAAGGAAAATGCACCTCCTCCTGCCTTATTGTCACCACTGACCCTAGCCAAGGAGGGTCCCTTGCTGGATCAGGAACTTGCATTTTGGTAGCAAAGTGTTCAGCAAAGAGGTCCGCCTTCTCTTGACTACTAGTAGAGGTAGTCCCATCCTGTCGATTTAGAGGTGGAATGAGTTCATCAGGCAGATAACCTTGTCAGTCCTTGACCAGGGACCACCAGGTTTTGGAGCCTACCCTACCTGATGCTAGCTTTCTTTTAGTGTCCACCTCCCATTTAGCAGTGGCCCACTTTTGAACGTCACCCATATGCCTACAGGCTTGCCTGTGCAAGTTCCTGTTATAGGTGGTAGGATGTCTCTTATACCTTTGCCATGCTTTGTACTTAGCAGTAGCAGCCTCTCTACAACGAAAGCCAAACCAAGGCTGATCTGTAGGCTTTGTCACATATTGGTGGTGAGGAATGTGTTCTTGTTGTAGATTAAGGATGTGTCAACATCCCCTTGGAGAAGAGCATTCCAATCGGTGGTGGCGAGGTCAGAGCAAAGGGCTGGCCAATTACCTCTTTCCCATAACCAGGTTCTGCGTGTGGACTCCTCATCTCGTTCTGTTGGGATCTTAAGTGTCGTAAAAACACCCTTGTGGTCAGACGATCCAGCATAGCCGAGGGGTTGACAAGTGACTATGCCTTCTGCCAGATCACTCACTACTGGGTCAAGGGAGGAGCCAGAGATGTGAGTAGGGAAATCAACAAAGTTTTTCTGCAAGAAGGTCATCAAAGTCCCTCTGTATAAGGTGTTGGTTGAGGTTTATTTATTTATTTATTTATTTATTTATTTATTTATTAACAATTTGAGCATACATACAGAGGTACAAAAAATACAGATAAGAGCAGCATGCCAAAGCCACTTATAACTATGCATAGCATTACCAACAATTATGATATGTTGACAGTTGTGTTGTAGCAGAAGGGAGTCAATATTTTCCATTAGGAAGTTGATGGGGTCTGCATGCTGCCACTGAGGTCTGTACAGTGGAACCTCAAATATCGAACTTTCTTCAGTCCAGAAGGCTGTTCGAGTGCCTTTACTGAATGAATTTATTCCCATCAGGAATAATGTAAATTAGATTAGTCCATTCCAGACCCTCAAAAATACACTTATAAAAGCACTTACAAAAATACCCTTACATAATTGGTTGTGTTGTTAGCAGTTCGATTTTTGAGGTTCCACTGTACATTGCTCATACTAGTACAGAGGTACTAGTGTTTATGCATAGCTTGAAGAACATCATTTCAAGATGTGTAGGGGTGGCAACATCAATGTGCTGGGCATGAACACTTTTAGAGAAGCACACAGCAACACCTCCTTGCCCTTGCCTGTCTCTTCTCATCCATGAGGTGTAGCCAGCAATTCTTGCAAAATTTTCTGGAGTCCTGTCATCCAAAAATGTTTCAACAACAGCTATCATGTCGGGACGTCGAGTGTTCACAAAACTATGTGTGAGCTCTCCAACATTAGTAATGAAACCTCTAATGTTGGCCAACAGGATGCTGATAGACTGGCTCCTCATGATGTGGTCAGCTTGAGGTGGTGGGTGTGTAGGGCATGTAAGGTGCCTGCCCAGGTGCATACACGCTTATTATGACCCACTTTTCACATCCGACCCTTATTTTAATCCACATAATCCTTGAATTTATGCATTTATATTCCCTCTTCTCTCATTCCATATGTATAGTAGTCTTTACTGTTTGTACATGTCCATTCCTGGCCACATGTGGGTAGTTGATTGGAGGTTCTTTGAGTAATAGTGGTGGCATCCACAATATTGTAAAGGAGTTTTCTCTGATTAAAGTACTCTTCACAAATTGTCATTAAGAAAATGGAGTTACAGTAAATATGACTCAATACCTCTATCCCAAGAAATGCACAAAATAAGGCTCTAAAAGCAGTAGATGACAGAGTAGTGTCTCTCTTTCTAAGAGTAGAGCTTAATACACAATCTGTTAATGGTCCAAGTTAGACCGAAACATCATAAGTTTCTTTCTACTGTGTATGAGTTATTTGTGTATTGTTCCAGTTATGGTGCTGTGCCTCTTTGCTCTTTAAGAGTAGAGTTAACATGAACTGGCAGTGACAGGAATGAGTGGCAACCTCAGGCATGGGCTGTATTGGTGACAGTTGTTGTAATGTATCTGAACCGATGAGTTGGAAACATATCTTCTATGGCATGGGCAGATCCTTGGCATAACCCATTAACTTCATAACATGTGTTTTTTTTTTTAATTGTTGTTACATACTGGCAATGTAGTAGTGTTTGAAATGAGTTCAACTGATAGTAATGCTGCAGATGAAGCAAATGCAAAGTGAGAAGTACTACCTCTCAACCCTCAACAGGAGTATTCAGGAGTTTCTGTACTATGGTGATAAAAGTTTTGGACAAAATAAGAACACTGAAATAACCCTTGGAAGCCTCTGAATGATTCATGAAGGTGGATTCTCAAATTTTCAGATTTTTTTTCTTAGTGTCTAGCCATTCCCTTTTACCCTGTAGTTATTATTTTGGCCACAGTGAATAAAAACTGAAATTTGAAAAATGTACAGCAAGAGTCATTATGTGCTACAAGAAGCCTTTCAGAGTCTGTGGTGGACAAATCAGTTAACTTTTATGTGCTGCTACAGTGTATAGCTGAAAAGAATCCAAATGAGTTTTAGTTCAAGTATGGAAAAATATTTGTGTTTACAGATACATATACATAGGCTTATTCTTTTATACTTATATGCTACTCATTTGAACCATTCGGAATTAACTGTAGAAGGTATGTTTAACCTATCCAAACATTCTTCTTTACAATACAGTAATTCAGTGTATGTATCTGCTGATAACCAAGTGATATGAAAACTCTACCATCCTCCATACCTGCACCATGGAAACAGTATTTTAACACATCACTCATTAGGAACATTTGAAGACCTTTCCTGGAAATGATCCTGCATGCCTTTGGACTCCCCAAGATGCAGAAGATCCTGGGGACCTGTAAGACCTGTATTGGGAAAAACGTGTCCTAAGACAATGCTCAGCATTGGAAGAAATTGCACAAACAGTTTCAGTTTTAGGGATTTGGTTATCCATACATCTAAGGCGATCTACAAAATGTGAATGTCTTAATGTACGGTTACGGTTCTGTACTCAATAGTATGGTTACAGTTCTGTACTTGATAGTATAGTTACAGTTCTGTACTACTCTACAGTACTTTACTTAGCCTCAAAGGTTTACTAATATCAGTTGCTTTATTTTTTTAAATTTGTTTTACAGATATCAGCAGACAACAAAGCCTACTTTTCTTGAGGAGGAGCGGAGAAAACTAACATGTGAGCTCATTGAACTTCGTTCTGCTCTCTCAGATATTAATGTATTTATTCATGCTGAGCGTCAGCAAGTTGTTCGATTGCATGCAGAAAACGAACGATTGCAAGTAAGTAGGCTTATACTAATAGGCATTTTATTTTTAAGAGTTTGTTCATTACTATATTCCTTCATTCCTTTGAATACTATCTATCATTCATTTCTTATTCCCAAATACAGTGTGTAAACTAGTTGACGCATTCAGTTTTAAAGTATAAAACTCATAAATTTTTCATTAAATATTCCCTTTGTGAAATCTGCTTACATATCTAAACTAGTTTTAAATGGATTTTATATTTATTATTGCACCTCTTACTGCTATTGAAAGTGGCATTCCCTGAGAGTAGCTATGTATCTCTGTCTTTCAGTGTCTCCCGAATTTCAGTGTTGTTGTTGTATACTGGTACATAGTTCTTGTACTGTACTGTACGTTGTTTTAATATACATGGTTGTTTAACATATTTATAGATGGGGTTGTGAAAGAAGTAAATGCTAGGGTGTTGGGGAGAGGGGTGGGATTAAATTATGGGGAATCAGATGCAAAATGAAGGATGAAGTTAACCATAGAATTGATGAAGGAAAAAAAGGCGAGTGGTGCTTTGAAGTATCTGTGGAGACAAAAAACATTATCCATGGAGGCAAAGAAGGGAATGTATGAGAGTATAGTGGTACCAACACTCTTATATGGGAGTGAAGTATGGGTTGTAAATGCTGCAGCAAGGAGGCTGGAGGCAGTGGAGATGTCATGTCTAAGGGCAGTGTGTGGTATGAACATTATACAAAGAATTTGTAGTGTAGAAATTAGGTGGAGGTGTGGAGTTACTAAAAGTATTAGTCAGAGGGCTGAAGAGGGGTTGTTGAAGTAGTTTGGTCATTAGAGAGAATGGAACAAAATTGAATGACTTGGAGAATGTATAAATCTGTAGGGGAAGGAAGGCAGGGTAGCTGTTATCCTTGAAAAGGTTGGAGGGAGGGGGTATAGGAGGTTTTGTGGGCAAGGCTTGGACTTCCAGCAAGCATGCGGGAGCATGTTTGATAGGAATGAATGGAGATGAATGGTTTTTGAAACCTGACGAGCTGTTGGAGTGTGAGCAGGGTAGTAGTATTTAGTGAAGGGATTCAGGTGAGTGGTGCGTTGAGGTATATGTGGAGTCAAAAAAACGTTATCTATGGAGGCAAAGAAGGGAATGTATGAAAGTATAGTAGTACCAACACTCTTATATGGGTGTGAAGCTTGGGTGGTAAATGCAGCAGCGAGGAGACGGTTGGAGGCAGCGGAGATGTCCTGTTTAAGGGCAATGTGTGGTGTAAATATTATGCAGAAAATTCGGAGATGTGGAAATTAGGAGAAGGTGTGGAGTTAATAAAAGTATTAGTCAGAGGGCAGAAGAGGGGTTGTTGAGGTGGTTTGGTCATTTAGAGAGAATGGATCACAGTAGAATGACATGGAAAGCATATAAATCTATAGGGGAAGGAAGGCGGGGTAGGGGTCGTCCTCGAAAGGGTTGGAGAGAGGGGGTAAGGAGGTTTTGTGGGTAAGGGGCTTGGACTTCCAGCAAGCGTGCGTGAGCGTGTTAGATAGGAGTGAATGGAGACGAATGGTACTTGGGACCTGACGATCTGTTGGAGTGTGAGCAGGGTAATATTTAGTGAAGGGATTCAGGGAAACCGGTTATTTTCATATAGTCGGACTTGAGTCCTGGAAATGGGAAGTACAATGCCTGCACTTTAAAGGAGGGGTTTGGGATATTGGCAGTTTGGAGGGATATGTTGTGTATCTTTATATGTTTATGCTTCTAGACTGTTGTATTCTGAGCACCTCTGCAAAAACAGTGATAATGTGCGAGTGTGGTGAAAGTGTTGAATGATGATGAAAGTATTTTCTTTTTGGGGATTTTCTTTCTTTTTTGGGTCACCCTGCCTCGGTGGGAGACGGCCGACTTGTTGAAAAAAAAAAAAAAAAAAAAAAAAAAAAATTCAGGGAAACCGGTTAGCTGGACTCGAGTCCTGGAAATTGGAAGTACAGTGCCTGCACTTTAAAGGAGGGGTTTGGGATATTGGCGGTTTGGAGGGATGTCTAAGCTGTCATATCTGAGCGCCTCTCCAAAGACAGTGATTATGCATGAGTGATGGTGATACTGTTGAATGATGAAAGTTTTTTCTTTCTTTTTGGGTCACCCTGCTTCTGTAGGAAACGGCTGATGTATTAAAAAAAATGTATGTATTCGTGCCGAATAGGTAAAACATTCCATTTTAGTACAGTACAGTACATTCTGAGAAAAGGAGATTTATTGTGTTCTTGAACACCAATCAGTGCCAGAGGGTCAATACTGTGTATCCTGTAAGCCAAATAATGTAATCTGTTTTTTGTTGTAGGTTTAGTTTTGTTTCAGGTTTCACATGGTATACTGTCTTCTGGTTTTTCTCATTGTATATTTATTTATATTACATCTTGAGTGTGCTAGAACTTAATTGTTTCAGTTGGACATTCTTGAAGCAGAAAGGAAAGTGTGTCTGTTATTGTCTCTGAGTGGTCTCTCTGAAGGGGAACTGAAGGTGTTCCTACGTGATCCCCATAGAACCAAAATTGTCAAGCAAAAGCTCCCACCACACCTTAAACAGATTCAGAAGAAGTTAAAAGAGGATATCCAAGAAGCAGGTTTGTGTAACAGCAATGTATCAAGAGTACAGTAATTATATGTAAGTACAGTAATACATTTGCATCCTCTTCAGGTGAGTGCCTCCTTGGCCAATTTACATAAAAAATGGCAACAATAATGTAAATTATAATGGCATTGTTAAGTATGATTCATAAGACATTTTCAGATTGGTTTTGTCATGTATTAAAAGAAGGTTGTTTATTAAATATCACTTGCAAAATGAGAAAACTGTGCTAAGGGCTTAAACTTTTTTTTTTTTTCTCTGTGCATATTGCAGTACACTTTATAATCTCTGTAATCTATACACTGTTCTATATAGGAATGTTGATTAGTGTATAGTTTAGATGTCCTTTGTTATAGCTTTGATTTTCATATTTTTATTCAGATCCCTTTTGGTTATATCTCGTCTGTACCTTTTAACCCTTTGACTGTCGTTTTTTTTTCTCTGTGCATATTGCAGTACACTTTATAATCTCTGTAATCTATACACTGTTCTATATAGGAATGTTGATTAGTGTATAGTTTAGATGTCCTTTGTTATAGCTTTGATTGTCACATTTTTATTCAGATCCCTTTTGGTTATGTCTCGTCTGTACCTTTTAACCCTTTGACTGTCGCGGCCGTATATATACGTCTTACGAGGTACCGTGTTTGACGTATATATACTCATAAATTCTAGCGGCTTCAAATCAAGCAGGAGAAAGCTGGTAGGCCCACATGTGAGAGAATGGGTCTGTGTGGTCAGTGTGCACCATATAAAAAAAATCCTGGAGCACGCAGTGCATAATGAAAAAAAAAAACTCCGACCGTTTTTTTAATTAAAATGCCGACTTTGTGGTCTATTTTCGTATAGTATTTATGGTTGTATTCTCATTTTCTTGGTCTCATTTGATAGAATGGAAAACATATTACAGAAGTAGAGGTGATTTTGATTGATTTTACTATAAAAAAACCTGGAAATGGAGCTCAAAATAGGGAAAATGTTTGATTTTTGCCAATGTTCAAAAGTAAACAAATGATGTCATTGTCCAATAAATGTCCAACTAGCCATTCTAATATGCAGTCATGAATGGGTTGATGTTATTTATACAATTATTACAGTATTGTAGTAGTCTGCATAATAGTAAGTCTTCTATTTTTTGTTTGAATAAAAATTCAAAATAGAAAGCAAGAGTAATATCAGAGGGACCTGGAAACATGACTGATGAACGATGAAAATGTTATTTTAGAGCCAGGAATGTCTGCATTGTTCATTCTGGACCTTATTTTGAAATTGTCATATTTTTTAGTTTTCATGAAATTGGCCAAATTGCAAATTTCTGACCACATTATTGGGTAGTTGAAATCGGTAAATGGGCAGTTTCTTGTACTCAATCGATAGAAAAAATGGAGTTCTAAAGAAATAGCTATGAGTTTGGTCGACTGGAACAATGGAATTAGCCGAAAATAGGGCTCAAAGTGGGCGAAATCGCCGATTTGTAAATATCGCCGAGGTCGCTAACTTCGCGAGAGCATAATTCTGTCAGTTTTCCATCAAATTTCGTTTTTTTTTGGTGTCATTACAATCGGGAAAAGATTCTCTATCATTTCATAAGAAAAAATAATTTTTTTTTTTTTTTAAATTTTGCGACACCAGGAGACACCTCAGAATTGGGGGTTGCGACAGTCAAAGGGTTAATTTGAATCACATTGGCATTGTGCCTTTCATTGTTAATTTTCAAATTCATGTAGTCCACTGGTGGGTGTTTTCATAACTGTATTTTTATTTCTTAGTACCTTCATAAACCAGGCTTCTGCCATGGGTAGGGACTAATGTTTAGTTCTGATCATTTTGTCTATATTAACCTCTGTAATTTAACTGCAAAATAGATTGACTGATGTAGGTGAAATTTGGTAGGAATGTTGGGTTAGTGGCAAGAAGTGTATTTTCAGAATTTGATGGATATACTGTAAGCCTTTTTATTAAGCTCCTCTATATAGTTTGATTTTTTTGTAAACATGATTGAAAAAGTACATCAGAATTAAATAGCTCATGAAAAAGCCTTTGAGGTACATGCCAGTCAGTTTCAGTTGCACACTTCAGTTTCATTTACAAAAAAAAATCACACTTTAGAAGATAGCTTTTTATGAGAGCTTACTGTACATTCAGAACCAGCTATCATAGTTGTGGTTATGAAGGGGAAGGATATATTTTACCTGTGAACAATTTTCATACTTCATCTGATAAGGTCTTCCACTTGCAGTTTGAAGTAGAATATCATTCCTTCTTCAACACAATGAGCAAGCAAAAGATCTGCAGCTTATTACTCTGTAGTAATATTGCTTGCTGATACCTTTTTTATAGGATTTTGCTTGCCAGTTAGGATAAAGTCAGTATCTTGATAAATTCTGTAAAAGTTCACATCAGATTTTAAACTGAACTTTATGGGTTGGCATGTATCATTTTTGAATAATATTTATTTGTATATTTTTTATGAATTTAGTTTCTAGTTTTTAGAGTTCTACTGCATAATAGAGTATATCAGTTAAATGACTGTGCAATAGTAGATTGACTGGGTAAAGTCCAAGAACAAGATTATATTGATTTTTGATAGATTTGTTGTAAATTGAAAGAGCTGAGGATTTATAAAGATGAAATAGAGAAATTTGCAAACAAATTATTGATGTCCGAAGTGGAATATACATATGGAGTTGGATTAGAATTTTGTGCCAGAATTAGCTTTTCAAGAATATCACAAATATTCTTCATGGTAAATAACCACAAATGATGAAGGGAAATCAGAGTGCTGGAGAGTTTTTTTTTTTTTTTTTTTTTTTAACAAGTTGGCTGTCTCCCACCGAATCAGGGTGACCCAAAAAGAAAGAAAATCCCCAAAAAGAAAATACTTTCACCATCATTCAACACTTTCACCTCACTCACACAGTCACTGTTTTTGTAGAGGTGCTCAGAATACAACAGTTTAGAAGCATATACGTATAAAGATACACAACATATCTCTCCAAACTGCCAATATCCCAAATCCCTCCTTTAAAGTGCAGGCATTGTACTTCCCATTTCCAGGACTCAAGTCTGGCTATATAAAAATAACTGGTTTCCCTGAATCCCTTCACTAAATATTACCCAGCTCGCACTCCATAAAACATTCTTGCCATCACCAAGCAAATGCTGACAAACTTTATTTTGATTAAAGAATCATCTTTTATCTTCTAGGCATTTAATAGTGTTTATTTCATAGAACACTCATCACCCACTTAGTGACCATGATTCATTCCAGATAAATCTCACATTTTTACAATAAGTAAATCCATTTTTTTTTTTTTTTGTATGTCCATTTTGTAATCAGAGATGCAATCAGGAAAAAATTTCTTGTACTTTTCCTATTTAAGTGCTGTACTTTATTTTAATAATGAAATTAACATTATTCACCAGAATGATTGGTTACCATCTTGCACTGGTAACTTGGCAAGGTGTAATAAAGTTTGGTGCTATTGTAGAGCATATTGGTGGAGGAAGGAAGTTAGTTTAGACAAAAGAATTGAGAGAGACAGGATAAGAGACAAGAGAAGTTAATACTGAGTGTACTTATCTATTTGTACTCAACTATACTTGCCTAAATGTGATTGCAGGGGTTGAGTCTTAGCCCCTGCCTCTTGACTTGTCACCTGCCAGATTTGCTTTCTCCTAGCTTTGTGACCCTTATCATACCTGCACTTAAAACTGTGTATAAAGTCTGCCTCTACCACCTCTTTTTCAAATTCATTTCACTTCCAGACCACTGAGACTGAAGAAATTCCTCCAAACATCTCTCTGAATCATCTGTGTCTTTAACTTCCGGCTGTGTTCCCAAATACCCATCTTTTGCCTCTAAAAGAGCCTCTCCCTGTCTATTCCTCTGAGTATTTTGTATGTTATCATGTCTCCCCTGGTCCTTCTGTCCTCCAAGGTGGTTAGATTCAAATTCTGTACCTTCTCTTCATAGCTCATACTTCTTAGCTCTGGACTAGTCTCATTACATATTTTCTGCCTCCACTTTCTTAACATTCTTCCTCATTTGTGGATTCCAAACTGGTGTGAATAATTGGCTGCACAGACAGGATTCATACACCCGGCACTTTACTGCAAATTTTTAATGTTTCTTAATTATGGTATTCATTGTGGATTTAGATCATTTAACAAGTTTTAGAATGTTACCTAATAGCTAACTTGAATAAAAAATATGTACTTCTGTATATTAAGTGATGCTCATCCTCTTAGCTCTCACACCACTATAATCCTTACCCTTTGGAACTCCTGTTAGCTCTGGTAAAATGTGCAGTGTGTGCTGAATCTCTCACTGGCCCCCAAATATTAGCAATATCTGCTTAGTGGAACAGACTCCTGTCTCACTCACTGCAAACTGATACTAGGGGTCACTAAATGGAGTGCTGGCAATTGCTAAATTAATTTCTTTCTTAATGTATCCTTTGCCGCTAGGTGAAATTACATTAGGAATGATTTAGAAGTGTATAAGAAGGATTATTTAGAAAAGATTATGTTACTGTATTGTATAATGAAAGTATAATTGATGTGGTTTACCCATTACATTTTCAAAATATTTTTTTTTTCCTTATTTTTCAGAATGTGAAGAAATGATTACTTTGAGAACACATGTTAAATCTCTCACAACACAGTTAGAAGAGTCAGAGAAAACCTGGAGAAGAGAGAGAAATGCATTTATACAAGATAGATCACTCTCAACTTCTGAAAGTAAGGCACAAGCAGCCAAGGATGAAGCACACATTAAACTGCTTACTGCTAGGTATATTAATATAAGAAAATATAATTTATGTTTTATTCACGTTTTAGATTTTCATATATTTTCTCTGGGTTTATGTGCCCTTGTGAGTTACAGAAACTATGCCATATTTGCTCATTTCCACTTGTCTGCTTATCTCTAATGTTATGCAAGGTCTTGAGCTTATATGTTTATTTCCTGATGTGTATTACGTATATAGTCTCTCAGTGTTGTAATGTCTTAAAGGATTTATAAATTCCACAGAGGTGCCTTTAATAATGTACCAGTTAGCATATTTTAGTAATTTATAGAATTCATCAGGCCTTTTTTTTTTTTTTTTTATTATTATGAATTGCCAATTTTATCGTTATTCTACTCTTTCTCTCATAGACTGGAAGAAGCTCAGCGTCTTCTGAGCGAATCAGTTAAGGATACATTAAACAAAAATGCTGAGGTTCAAGCATTAGAGGTTACTTGGTTGGCTGAACGAGATCATCTGCTGTCTGTTTTAGCAACAGTACAAGAAAATATTCCGTTGGTGTCTGAGATGCAGGTAAGATCCTGACTAGCTTATTTGGAAATTATCTGCAATGACAGAATAATTATTAAGGACAGGGTTGTAGGACGAATGTCGTAGACTTCTCTGGTAGGCACTAGTGTAGAAAAAGTAAAATGGGTGTCTGGTATCACTGCTGTCTTCCTGTTTCCACATACTACTGTGCCACTTGGTGGTCTACTCCAGTTTTTAATTCTCTCATTTTATCCACTGAAGGCAGTTCATTTTTATGATAAAAAAAACAGAACAGCTGGAATTTGAGCCCATGGCAAGCAGGTCTTAAAATTCACAGGCCAGTGAATGAGGTATTGCTAACTTCATGAATTCCTTCAAGCATGTTGGCTAGGGTTTTCCATGCCAAGAAGCAGCAGCTGTGGGGACTAAGCACTGCCTTGCATGGAGATTGATATAACCAACACTTTCTCTTACCTTAAAGTTGAGCTTTCTTCTGGAACTATGACTCTTCAGTGTACAACATTTTTTTTTTTTTTTTTTTTTTTTTTTTGTGGTGAGTGGAATGAGATAACATATAAGGCTCAGGAATAATGTCACTGAATCAGTTGGCTCATCATGTTTTGACTAGGGCCAAGTGGGTATTTGTGGATGTTCACAATTGCAGTTTTGTGGGCACTGCTAGACCTTCTAATGGCTGCTTACATATCTCTCTCTATTACCCCTGGAGTTGTTTGTATATTTAGTGCCATTCCTTTTTCAGGGTCTTAAGTTAGGTTGCGGATAGTGTTAATTTTTTTTTTCATTTATAGTTGCATTTCTAGTGGAACTCCTGCAAGTGTTGCTGGATCAGCCAAGTTATGATGACTGTGTAACTCTGGGTAGCAACAGCCTGAATGTTAAGGTGTTCAACAGGAAAATCTGGCCTCATGCCAGACTGTGAGATTAGAATTCTCAAAACTTGTCTCAATAATTAGAGTAATACAGTTGAACCTCAACTTCGGAGTACCCCAACATATGAGTTTTTCGAGTTACAGGCTGTTGCTCAGTCAATTTTTTGCTCTGAGTTACAAGCCAAAATCCGAGTTACGAGCGAGCTTGAGAATGCCACCACTAGTTGTCGCAGCCAATGCCACGACATCTGCTCAGCAGTGCACATGTTTACCTCACCGTGGTAGCATTTCTCTTGTGTTGCACTTGCGTTTTGTGCAGTTATTTTGCCAAATATATTTTTTCTACCCATGGGTCCAAAGAAAGTAAGTGCAAAGGACAGTGCTGAGAAGAAAAAGATGATGTCCATTGAATTAAAGAATGAAATCATAGATGAACACGAGTGAGATGTGCGGGTTGTGGACTTGGCCAGGCAGTACCAGCATAGTACTTCTATGTTGTGTACAATACTAAAGCAGGAGGAGTCAGTAAAGGCTATAGCACCAGCCAGGCAATTAAGTGTAGCATTAAGAGTGTAGCAATTAAGTTCAGTGATAATTTGCAGCATTAAGAGGGTAGCAGTTAAGTTCAGCAGTAAAGTGTAGCATTAAGAGTGTAGCAAGTAGCCTATCTTCTCCACCCTCCACCTCCACCCTCCACCTCCACCTCCACCTCCACCTCCACCTCCACCCTCCACCTCCACCAGCATCTGTTCTCCAAGGTAAATACATACACTTTATAAAACCAGTTTATTTCTTTACATTCTCTATTATGTTTAATTATGTTTTTATACAATATTTCTTATTTATAAATACATTGTTTCAGTGTTTTCCTTATGAAACTAGTGATCTAGTGCAGTTAGCCTCACAAGCACTCTGTTTTCAGAAGGGGAAGAATGAGAAGATATGGTCAGAGAGGGAGTGGGAGTGGCCTCCACCACTTGTCACAAAATGACAAGTCTTATTCATTCTAGAGTATATATCAAGTTTCTATGTTATTTATATTGTTTATTATGTCATATTGGATCAATTGTGATAGATAAATAAGCTGTAGAGTTAATACTAGCATTATATTGAAGTATTTTCTCCTGCCTCCCGAGAGCAGGAATTCCGCTGGAACGGATTAGCGACTAGTCAGTTTATTTCAATGAGGGAAATTGATTTGATATAACAAGCAGTTGAGTTATGAGCTAGGTCACGGAATGGATTAAACTTGTAAGTCAAGGTACCACTGTATTTAAAGAAATATGACTTTAGAAACCAGTTTAAAAACCAAAAAGCAAAAAAGCCATATGAATGTTCTGAAAAAAAAAAAGGGTTCAGTTAATTTCCCACACTACAAGTTATTTTTTTGGCCCATCTTCAGTATTAATTTGTGATTGAAAAATAAATCTCTAAAGAAACTCTGTAAAAAATGTGCGTACCATAATAATTGCACCATTTTTTCTTATAAGTTGGATTCATAAGTGAAATAAATTCTTAAGTAATTTTTTTATTAGATGCGTTGTTTTTTGATGTTTGTTCATTTAGTTAATTTCTTGTATGCACCCCTTCACGAACCTCCTGTAGACTGTAGAGGAAGTATTTACAAACACATGCTCCAAAGGTAGAGATTTCAGATAAAGCATTATTATACGCAGCCTTATTAATAATGTGAATGATGCTTAATTACTCAGGCTAATCACTATTGAAACACTAATTAGATGGGTGACCATGTGGAAATAGCTTTGCCTTTGACCAAGGACCCTGGTATACACCATACTTCCTATCAAAAGGATTAAAAATTGGTGATGATAGTATAATAATTTTAATCCTTGAAAAATGCTTCAAAGCAATAATTAGTGGCTAATTGTCAGGGAATAATACAAAGGTTTACTTTATGGTGTACTTACAAAAACAGTCACTCTTTCATGTCTTAACAATTGAGGAAGTTGGTCCTTCCTTAGGTATTTGTAACATACTCTGTATAGCATGAAGGAATCTCAGGAAATAAGACACATTAACTTGGTGAAACAGTCAAGCAATCTGTATTTTAAATGTGATCAAATAAGACAGCAATTAAATATTTTAGTTCAGTAAGATTTTTTTTTTTTTTCAACAAGTTGGCTGTCTCCCACTGAGGCACGGTGACCCAAAAAGAAAGAAAATCCCCTAAAAGAAAATACTTTCATCATTCAACACTTTCACCTCACTCATACATAATCACTGTTTTTGCAGAGGCACCCAGATACAACAGTTTAGAAGCATATATAAAGATATATAACATATCCCTCCAAACTGCCAATATATCAAACCCCTCCTTTAAAGTGCAGGCATTTTACTTCCAATTTCCAGTACTATAGTCTGGCTATATAAAAATAAGCGGTTTCCCTGAATCCCTTCACCAAATATTACCCTGCTCACACTCCAACAGCTCATCAGATCCCAAAAACCATTCATCTCCATTCACTCCTATCTAACACGCTCATGCACGCTTGCTGGAAGTCCAAGCCCATCTCCCACAAAACCTCCTTTACTCACTCCCTCCAACCTTTTCAAGGATGACCCCTACCCCACCTTCCTTCCCCTACAGATTTATATGCTCTCCATGTCATTCTACTTTGATCCTTTCTCTCTAAATGACCAAACCACCTCAACAACCCCTCTTCAGCCCTCTGACTAATAGTTTTATTAACTCCACATCTCCTGATTTCCACACTCAAAATTCTCTGCATAATATTTACACCACACATTGCCCTTAGACAGGGCATCTCCACTGCCTCCACCTGCCTCCTCACCCATATAAGAGTGTTGGTACTACTATACTTTCATACATTCCCTTCTTTGCCTCCATAGATAATGTTTTTTGCCTCCACATATACCTCAATGCACCACTCACCTTTTTTCCTCATCAATTTTATGATTAACCTCATCCTTCATAAACCCATCAGCTGACATGTCAACTCTCAAATGTCTGAAAACACTCACTTCTCCCATACTCCTTCTCTCCAATGTGATATCCAATTTTTCTTTAAATCATTTGATGCCCTCATCACTTTACTCTTATCTATGTTCACTTTCAACTTTCTAACTTTATAAACCCTCCCAAACTCAGTATATATGTAGATAATATATAAAAAATTTCCTCCGTAGGCTATTGATAGATCTGGAAGCTACACTGATCTTTCAACAATGAAATCCACATGTGTAATGAAGGATCTACGAAGAGAGAATGAATTATTGAAGGTAAGGGACGCCATTTTCAATACTTTTATTGCTGTTTAATATATACTCTTGTTCTAAATTTCTTTATTGTTTAAGAAATTCCAGCTATTAGTAACAGATGGCTCTTGTCATTTCAGAAATATTATGATACCTGTATTCATGTATTAGAATGTACGACCATAATTTTCATTTTTTTCCATTTTGCTTTCTTGGTTACATTCTTAATAATGTGTGTCATTTATAGACTTATTTAGGCATTCCCAGTATCTGTGTGCATTGCCTTCATATCCATATATAACTGTCTAATCTGAATGAAAGAACAACATGCATACACTTATTACTTCTTTATTACATCGTTTTACAACAAGAGACCCTAAATGTATTATGCACTTGTCCTTTCATACATATTGTAGGTATCAGTATGCCTCTACCTTACTGCATAATCTATTTTGTTATCTTTCATTTCATTGTATCATTTT